GTAGTAGTAGTAGTAGTAGTAGTAGTAGTAGTAGTAGTAGGTGGGGGGGTGAGTCCGACGTGAAACTTAGACTCTCCCTACCGAGAAATCGATTTCGGTTTCGGGTTCGTCTCGTGCGTGCCGTGCGTGCGTGCGGGCGAGGCGAAGCTATGTAACTCCTCCGGCGGCCGGTGCCGCGCGGTGTCCCGCCGGTGTCCTGCTGGTGTCCCGAAATCCTCCTGTGGCTGAGCCGCAGCCGGATCACTGTTTCTCCTCCGGCGGCCAGTGCCGCGCGGTGTCCCGCCGGTGTCCCGCTGGTGTCCCGTGGTGTCGCGAGGTGTCCCGTGGTGTCCCGTTGAATGAGATCGATCGTGAGATCGATGGTGAGATCGATACTGAGATCGATGTGGTGCCACAAGGTGTCCCGTGGTGTCCCGTTGATTGAGATCGATCGTGAGATCGATAGTGAGATCGACAGGTGTCCCGTGGAGTCCCGTGGTGGCCCGTTGAGTGAGATCGATAGTGAGATCGATAGTGAGATCGCTGTGGTGTCCCGAGGTGTCCAGTGGTGTCCCGCTGAGTGAGATCGATAGTGAGATCGACAGGTGTCCCGAGGTGTCCCGTGGTGTCATGTTGAGTGAGATCGATAGTGAGATCGATAGTGAGATCGATAGTGAGGTCGACGTGGTGTCCCGAGGTGTCCCGTGGTGTCCTATGGTGTCCCGCTGAGTGAGATCGATAGTGAGATCGATAGTGAGACCGATAGTGCGATCGAGAGGTGCCGTGTCCTGCGGTGTCCCGTGGTGTCCCGCGGTGTCACGTGGTGTCCCGTGGTGTCCCGTTGAGTGAGATCGATAGTGAGATTGATAGTGAGATCGACAATTGTCCTGTGGTGTTCCATGGTGTCCCGTGGTGTCCCATTGAGTGAGATCGATAGTGAGTTCGATTGAGTCAGATGTTGATTCCCCCCCTTTCCCACCCCCCACAACCTCCTTATCACCCGAAGGGTGGTCGTATAGTTAGTAGTAGTACTGGTAGAACTAGTGGTCGGACGAATAGTATTAGTATTTGATGATTGTGATTATCAGTTGTAGTAGTAATAGTTCTAGCAGTAGTAGTCGTCGTATTAGTAGTAGTAGTAGTAGTAATCGTAGTAATCGTAGTAGTAGTAGTAGTAGCAGTAGTAGTTGTAGTAGTTGTAGTGGTAGAAGTAGTAGTAGTAGTAGTAGTAGTAGTAGTCGTAGTAGTAGTCGTAGTAGTAGTAGTAGTAGTAGTAGTAGTAGTAGTAGTAGTAGTAGTAGTAGTAGTAGGAGTAGTAGTAGTAGTGTAGTAGTAGTAGTAGTAGTAGTAGTAGTAGTAGTAGTAGTAGTAGTAGTAGTAGTAGTAGTAGTAGTAGTAGTAGTAGTAGTGGTAGTAGTAGTAGTAGTAGTAGTAGTAGTAGTAGTAGTAGTAGTAGTAGTAGTAGTAGTAGTAGTAGTATAGTAGTAGTAGTAGTAGTAGTAGTAGTAGTAGTAGAGTAGTAGTAGTAGTAGTAGTAGTAGTAGTAGTAGTAGTAGTAGTAGTAGTAGTAGAAGTAGTAGTAGTAGTAGTAGTAGTAGTAGTGGTAGTAGTAGTAGTAGTAGTAGTAGTAGTAGTCGTAGTCGTAGTGATAGTAGTAATAGTAGTAGTAGTAGTAGTAATAGTATTAGTAGTCGTCGTCGTAGTCGTAGTCGTAGTAGTAGTAGTTGTTGTTGTAGTAGTATTAGTAGTTGTAGTAGTAGTAGTAGTAGTAGTAGTAGAAGTAGTAGTAGTAGTAGTAGTAGTAGTAGTAGTAGTAGTAGTAGTAGTAGTAGTATTTGTAGTATTTGTAGTAGTTGTAGTAGTAGTGGTAGTCGTCACACTGGTCGTATTAGTCGTAGTAGTAGTAGCAGTAGTAGTAGTCGTCGTGCTCGTAGCAGTAGTCGTAGTAGTAGTCGTAGTAGTAGTAGTAGTAGTAGTAATAGTGGTAGTCGCAGTCGGAGTTTTAGTGGCTTTAGTAGTTGTAGTAGTAGTAGTAGTAGTAGCAGTAGAAGAAGAAGTAGTAGTACGAGTGGTAGTAGTAGTAGTAGTAGTAGTAGTAGTAGTGGTGGTAGTAGTAGTAGTAGTAGTAGTAGTAGTAGTAGTAGTAGTAGAACAAGTAGAAGTAGTGTAGTATTAGGTTTAGTTGTTGATGTCGTAATAGTAATAGTAGTCGTCGTCGTCGTAGTAGTTTTTGTCGTGGTAGTAGGAGGAGTTGTAGAAGTGTCGGTAGGAGTAGTATGAGTCGTAGCCATCGTAGAGTCCCAGTAGTAATAGTAGTAGTCGTCGTCGTCGTAGTAATCGTCGTCGTAGTAGTCGTCGTCGTCGTCGTTGTCGTCGTCGTTGTATCAGTGGTACTAGTATACGTAGTAGCAGGTGCAGTAGCAAAAGAAATTACTCCGACGGAAGAACCCCACATAAGAATCCTCTGGGCGAATCTGGAAGAAGCCATCACCGTCGTCCTCGTGGTTGGTGAGGCGTCCTGGCTGTCTCTTCTGCGTATATTTCCTCTCGCCTTGGCGCGGGCCCCCCTTCCACTCCTTACGTTGTCCCCATCCTCGCCCCCCTGTTTGTTCCGCGCCCCGCCACCTCCTCCCCTTCCTGTTGCATGAGCGCGCATGTCGATGTTCCTCGGCGCCGTCGCCGCCACGGCCAGCACAGGCGCGTTCTCTACTGGTCACGTCGCGCAGCCGTTGGGACAACCCCGCGGGCCAGGCTGTCGGGACAACCCCGCGAGCCGTTGGCGCGCAAACCAAGCCGTTGGGACAACCCCGCGGGCTTCGAGCGAGGCGCAGCCGCGCTCAGGCGGAAGGCAGCACGAAGCCCAGCTCTGCCGCGAGCTGCTTCGCCTCCGCCCTGGACAAAACCGCTCTCTTGTCGAACTCCAGGAGCGCCTTCCGCAGGGACGCCGGCGGCCCGCACTCCAGGAACTCTCGCGGCGGCGGCCGCAGGATCAGCATGTTCCGCATGCACGTGGCGCGGGAGAACATGACGTAGAGGTGCAGCCACCACTGCTCGTCCGACATGCCCGTGCGGCCAGCGTCCTCGTCTCTCGCGCAGTCGATGGTGACGCCCTTGCGCAGCGTCTGGCCCTGCGACAGCGTGGAGGTCAGGTAGGACGCGTGCGTCAGGGTGAACCCCGAGCGGCGCACGCTGTGCGCCCCCGAGCTCTGCCATGTGAACTCCCTTTCGCTGGGCCTGAACATCAGCAAGCTCCGCGCCCGCGCCTCGGCCTGGCCGTCGTCGTCGGCGCCTTCGGCGCCCTGTCGCAGCACCTCGGCGACCTGAGGAGCCCAAAAACTTCCTTGTTGCATCCAAATGTGGCCTGGGAGCTGCGTTCTGGCAGCGCGAGAACCCAAAATTGACGACAGTTACAGGTTTTGGATGACCCGCTCGGATTACCAACATGATCTGCGGGCCCCATAGGGAGGGGGCTCCCGCCTGAGACTTCCTCGCAGTTCACTCACAGACGAGGCTCCCGCCTGAGACTTCCTCCATATTCAGGCTTGAGGAGCCCAAAATTGACGACAGTTACAGGATTCCGATGACCCGCTCGGATTACCAACGTGATCTGCGGGCCCCATAGGGAGGGGGCTCCCGCCTGAGACTTCCTCACAATTCACTCACAGACGAGGCTCCCGCCTGAGACTTCCTCCATTTTCAGGCTTGACGAGCCCAAAAGTGACGACAGTTACAGGTTTCCGATGACCCGCTCGGATTACCAACATGATCTGCGGGCCCCATAGGGAGGGGGCTCCCGCCTGAGCCTTCCTCCAATTCACTCACAGACGAGGCTCCCGCCTGAGACGTCCTCCAAATTCAGGCTTGAGGAGCCCAAAAGTGACGACAGTTACAGGTTTCCGATGACCCGCTCGGATTACCAACATGATCTGCGGGCCCCATAGGGAGGGAGCTCCCGCCTGAGACTTCCTCCCAATTCACTCACAGACGAGGCTCCCGCCTGAGACTTCCTCCATTTTCAGGCTTGACGAGCCCAAAAGTGACGACAGTTACAGGTTTCCGATGACCCGCTCGGATTACCAACATGATCTGCGGGCCCCATAGGGAGGGGGCTCCCGCCTGAGACTTCCTCACAATTTACTCAACGATGATGAGGATGAGGATGATGAGTGGTGGTGAAGATGAGTGGTGAAGAGGATGATGATTGATTGTGAGTGGTGGTGGCGATGATGATGTTTGAATGAGGATGATGCCGATGCCGATGATGATGATGATGATGATGTTCGTGAGCGTGTGAGAGAGTGCGAGTGATGATGATGAGTATGTGAGTGACTAAGCATGTGAGAGAGCATCATCGATGATGCTGATGAGGTTGATGATGAGAGAGTGTGAGTGAGTGTGAGTGGGTGTGTGTGTGTGTTCCTGTTCCTGCGCGGGGTGCCCAGAGAAAACAAGAATCCCACTTTGGATGTGGGGAATAAGTAGTAGTAGCCAGCAGACTCTGGCGCCTTCACTATGCACGGTGAGCGGGTCGGGCGTTGCGTCTTCAAAATCAACCAGCCCCAACGTTTCTGGTTGGGGCGGAGAGCCAGTACGGTTCGTACCCCAGCTTTCGGTTCCGGGAGTCGGGGCATTTGGGAAACCCGCATTGAAAAAATACCGGCGTCCGATTTCCGTGTGAACGTCAATCAATTGCAGCTCTTGCCCCCACCGCGTTTGTTGATCAGGAGTCGTTGCCAGACTCGCCGTGGACGTCGTCCGTCTTTTTGACAAAGCGGGTAGGGTCTGCTCGTGTTGCTGTCAGGTCGATGCGGCGGCGATCCCAGCGCGGGCATTCAAGGTTGAACGCCGCCGGTGGCCCTGGCGCCGAATCAGCAAATATGCAAAGATTAGGCGACGGACAAGCCGCCGAGCGTGGAAGGTTCACCGACCCACGCGATGTCAGACATCAGCGCCGCAGTCGTCACGGTACGAACCTGCCGCATCGTCCTTTTCATTTCCGTCCCCACTCCGGGCGAGCACAGGTGGGTGGACGCGGCGTTCTGGTCCTCGGACAGAGTGGTGTGCGAGGCGCGGGGCTCGGTGAACGGCTGCGGTGCAGCTTCGGGTGTCCTTGTCTGGCACGCTGTGCAAATGGCGATGTTTGTTCTTGTGGCGCAGATTCGGCGTGGGCTCGTCTTTCATTCGACGCGGAGTCGTGGGTCCGACGCGAATGCCGGCGCAAGTGGACAGGCAAGGTTCCGCGAAGATGCACCATGAGGAGCACGAGGAGAGGGAGCTGGAACCAGGGGAGGGGGAGGTGGAAGTGGTGAAGCAGGATTGGGTGGAAGGATGGAGTCGGAGGAGGAGGAGGCGGAGGAGGAGGAGGAGGAGGAGAAAGAGATGGGGGGGAACATGAAAATGGGCAAGAACGGTACGGCGACCCCACAGTGCTGGAAGGTGGGAGGGAGGGAGGGACAGGACGAATCGGTCGTCGCGGGGCCTCCATAGGTACCCCGTGGAGCCTCTGGAGGCTCCAGGAGGCGCCGGCCGGCGTCCCTTAAAAGCTCGGGGCCTCGATCGCCGCATGCTTGGACGGCCAGGGGAGTGCGGTGGCCAGGGTTAGGACGAGGATAAAATTCGTTCCAGAGCGTTCCAGAACGCTCTCAGAGCGTTCCGGAACGCTCTGGCAAGGCCGCGGCGCCCGAGACATACTCCACGGCCGCCAGATCTCAGAGATTCTCGGTCTATCTTCACCCGAATTCATCTTCCTCATCCTGGCTTCGTCTTACTGGGAAGCAGGTACTCCCTGGCCGCAGCAGGCATCCGTGCACCAGCACCGTGCCTGGCCAGGGCCCAGGAAGAACCCGGCCAGGCATAGCAGGAGTGTGCGGGCTCCTTGTGCGTACTACTGCCGAGACGCTGAGATAAGGACCACGTTGAGCTCAGAAGGGGCTCGCTGTTCCTTAGTGAGCTCTTCCATGGCTGTTCCTCTAGCCCTCCTCGTGCACCTGGGCGCCTTTGGGGCCAAAAGGGGGCTTCGCTCCTTATTGAGCTCTCCTTCTGCTAGTACCTGGACAGTGCCCTGAGCAGTCTCGCCCCCGCGACGTAGGCTGGCTCATCATTCCTCTTCAGAGCGGTGGTGGTTCCGGCCCCTCCTCCAGGACTGGCTCGTCATCCCTAGCAGCTTTTGTCACGATCCTTGCGGTGTCGGGGCTCAGTAACGTCCCCGAGGGGCGGGAAACTGCCCGATTTGTTTTGGAATCAAGTGTTACACGACGCCAGAAGGTCTGGGGAGGGAGGAGAGCGGGGTTCGAAGTGGACCCCCTGGACCTGTCCTGGGGCGCGCCCCAACCAGAATTTCAGGCTGATCCAGAGCAGTTGCGGCGAGGAGATGCAGAACTGACACCAAGTTCGATGCTGCTTCTTGAGTCTCGAGGCCTCAAGCCTGTCTCCGGCCGGACGCGCTTTTCTTGTGTTAGAAAAGATGACAGCGGATCATGTTTTTGCGGTCAGCCCCCAGGCCCACAGACGCGGAAATCGAGGACACATGTCGGGTGGGGCTAGGACGAGGATAAATCTGTTCCAGATCGTTCCAGGCTCTCAGAGCGTTCCCGAACGCTCTGAGGAGGCTGCGTGACGCATGACGCCGCATGCTGAGTGCGCGGCGCATGGCGCCGCAACCAGAAGCAGTCTATCTCAAGTTCGGCCCCCGAGTGCGCAACCAATGGTAGGGCCGTTTGTTTTGGGCCGCCGAGTGCGCAACCCATGGCGCAACCCATGGCAGGCCCCTTTCTTTTCAGCCGCCGAGTGCGAAACCCGTGTCGCAAACAATGGCGCAACCCACGGATGGTTCAACGAATGGCGCGACGCACGGATGTTGCAGCCCATGGCGCGACCTAAGTTGCAACCCATGGCGCCAATCATGGACGGTACAGAAAGGCGCAACCCATAGGTAGGGTAACTTTCTGGGCGGACGGAGTGACGCAAAAATCGTTTCCCAGTCGAACCTGCCACCTGTCCGAACAAATGCTGGACCAGTTGGGTGCGGCAGTTCGACGACCCCCCCCCGGGAACCCCTTATTGGTGAGTTATCCGAGGGGGTTCTCGTGGGTTTTTCTATGTTTTCCCAGTGGTCTTTCGGAAGGGGGGGGGGGGAACCTCCGACAAAAACAAATCGGAGGTTTTCTGCGTGTTTTCGGGGGTGCTGGAGCTGCACAGGTAAAACAATATAATTGTTGAAGACAACCCAGAAAAAGAAAAAAAAAAAAAAAAAAAAACACTTCGGGCTTGTTTTTTAATGATTTTTCGGGGGGGCCCTGGCCAGCCCAGGCTCCTGGATTCTCTGGGGGGAACCCACCAAAAACCTCAATTTCTTTGGTTTTTCAATGTTCTTTCCGGGGGTTCTGGGACCCCACAATTTACTACAATATTATGTTTGAAAACTCATCGGAAAACCACCGACAACAAAAAACCCAACTCGGGAATTGTTCAATGGTTTTTCGCGGGGTCCCTGGCCAGCCCAGGCTACAGGATTCTCCGGGGTGGGGAAACCCCCCAAAAACTCTCCAACTCGAGGGATTTCCAAGTTTTGTTGTCTTGGGTTCTGAGGCCCCGCAATGAAAAACAACCTTATTTTTGAGAACCCCCCTCGGAAAACCCCCGACAAAAAAATTCAACTCGGACGTTTTCGGGATTCGGGAAGTCTCTGGCCAGCCCAGGGTCCTGGATTCTCTGTGGGGGAAACTCTCGAACAAAAAACCCAAGTCGGGGGAGTTTTGTAGTTTTTGTCGTGGTTCTGGGGCCCCACAACTTGTAAAAAAGTGCCCAGCTGCGACGCGGAGGCCCCAGGGGAATTTGGCCGTGGCGACGAGAAGCCGCCCGGAAGCTCTTAAGGGTCGGGCGAAGCCAGGCCTCCCAGATGGGGTCGGAGTAGATGGGGTCGGAGGATCGCGCCGCATCGCCGATGCATCGCCCATGCGGCTCGATGTGGGGTCCGATTTGCGCGTCGACGTCGCCGACGCATCGGCGACGTCGACGATGCATCGCCGGTGCATCACAGATGCATCGCCGATGCATCGCTGATGAATCGGCGTTGCGGCGCGATCCTCCGACCCCATCTAGTCTGACCCCATCTGGGAAGCCTCTAAGCGCGTACAGGAACTTCACCCCGGAAGCGTCTACCACCGACCCTGCAATGGCACGAGCTGTGCTCATCTCTCTTGCTTCTTTCCTCCCCCTCCTCCCCGTGAAGTGTTCATCGCTGGCCAGTCGCTTCACACGATGCGGGGCGGCATTGCACAACGTGTCGAACCGATCCCCATCCTCACGGGACCATGGTACATCAGCCCCACCAGCCCACCCCCTTAGGTGGTTGTAGGCCCAGCGAAACCCAACGGAAACAGCATATATGATCCAGGCTCGAGGGTTTAGAAGCCTCATCTCCCCTAGATGGGATGGTTCCCAGGGTTCACAGACCTCCCTCACGACGACGACGACGACGACGACGACAATGACAACGACAACGAACATGACGGCCTGGACGGCGACGACGACGACGACGATGACGGTGGCGGCGACGGTGACGGCGTCTGCGGCGGCGACGACAGCGACGATGACGGCGACGATGACGACGACGGAAGACGACGACGACGACGATGACGACGACGACGACGACGACGACGACGACGACGACGACGACGACGACGACGACGACGACGGCGACGGCGACGGCGACGGCGACGGCGGCGGCGGCGGCTGCGGCGGCGGCGGCGACGACAGGGACGACGACAGCGACGACGACGACGACGAGGACGGCGGCGACGACGACGACGACGACGACGACGACGACGACGACGACGACGACGACGGCGGCGGCGGCGACGACGACGACGACGATGATGACGAAGACGACGGCGACGACGGCGGCGGCGGCGGCTGCGACGGCTGCGGCGGCGGCGACGACAGCGACGACGACGACCACGACCACGACCACGACCACGCAACGCCAACATGGCCACGACCACAGGGAGTGGGCTCCCTTCGCGCGGGGTGGGGGCGAAGGCATCAATATGAGAAGGGGAAGGGGGCGGGAGCCTTGGATGATACAAATTCATCAAATCGTCCAGTGCTCAATGGCTCAGGTCACCCCCAGGGGCGCGAAGATAACCGCGCTTCGCGCACCGCGACCTGGGCCGCAAGGATGCCTTTCGGCAGGGCGGCCGTACGAGAGGGCGAAACTAACCGCGCGAAGCTAGGTGACCAGCAAAGTTCAGGTGACCTACGGTCTCAGAGAGTCAGGTGACGCCCAAAGTTAGGCGACGCGCAGAGTCAGGTGACGCGCAAAGCTAGGTGACGCGCAGAGTTCGGTGACCCGCAAAGTGCAGTGACGCGCAACGTTCGACGACGGACAGAGTTAGGTTACGCGCAAAGTTGGGTGACGCGCAGAGTCAGGTGGCGCGCGCGCAAAGTCTGATGAAGCGCAAAGCCAGGTAACGCGCGAAGGCAGGTGGCGCGCAAAGCTAGGCTACCAGCAACGTAGGTGTCCCGCCACGTTTGATGACCCACGAAGCTGGGTGAAGCGCAAAGTCAGGTGACGCGCACATTCTGTGGCCGCGCGAACTTTGGCTCAGCGTGTCTCTCCGCCAGTTCTAGCCCACCACGTTTCGGGCATCCCGTGTCGCCAGGGCCGTCGCCTCGACACGCTGAGCAAAATCTTCTGACCGAATATGGCTCTGGCGATGCGCCGTCCTCGAGACAGCGAGCCCGTCGTCACCTGGTGGACGTGACGAGCGAATTGCAATCGGTCCTCCACCGTCGAAGCTCGAGGTGCATCGGCTTCTGCCCGATGTTCTCTGCCAAGCTGCAGGCCCCGCATGTCTCGACCCCTCCCCCGAGGGCGGTCTCTCCTCGCCCGGGAGGCGCCCCTGACCGTCCCTTGGGCCAGGAAGCGGCCCACGACGGGCAGAGACTGTGGGAGCAGCCGCCTCGTCTGACGAAGCCGATCCGCCCGAATGATGGCTCGCCGCTCTCCCCAGAGGTGCCTGGCCCCGACGCGGACGCCCCCGGGCTCGCCCGGCCCCTGGTGCTGATCGGCGACGCCGCGTGTGGCAAGCCGTTCTACACGGGCACGACGCTGAATCGGCACTTCTGGGATGTCGCCGCGCTCGTCGACGAGGCCGCCACCGAATGCTTCGGTAGCAAGTCTTTGGAGTCTTGTGTGCCCTCGTAACTCCGTCTTTGGTGTGCGTTAGCGTCGGATAGCGTAGGGTGATCGATGGGACAGCGTCGATGTAGCGTTGATCAGTGTCGATGAGAGTCGGTTTGGCGTCGATTTGGCGTCGACCGGGGTCGATTCGCAAAAGCCAGCAAGATGGTATGGGAGGCTCCCATGAGTTGCCATTCCCTCCCTCCGATCGAGGGTCGACGGGGTCGACGGCCTGGCGTGCTCTTAGAGCCCTCTTCGCTGGCGTGCGCGCGCATACGAGCGCCTCGTCCTCGCCCTCGTCTCGCCACCACTGCTCTCCCCAGACATCCTACAAGCGAGGTTGATTAGTAGGTCGACCCTGTCAAATCAAGGGTACCCTTGTGTCCTGTATCTCGCGACCCATGCCTTCTGCATTTCCAGTGCCATGTGGCCCTCGGAAGGGTCTTGTGTCATCGCCGCGGAGCGGTGCGACACGCTGTCCGCTTGCAAGGCATAGCTTGTCGCCGTGGCCGCCGCAGCGACACGCTAATCAGCCTCGCGCAGAGAGGGGTGGGGGCCCTGCTTCTTAGAAGGCGCGGGCCGCCTTCGAAGGAGCAGCCTCCTTTCTAAGAAGCCCTCCCCCCTCCCTCCACCCCCTTGCGCGCGCCGCCAAGCTAAGCAAAAAGTTCCCGACCGTGGCTAGTACCGCGGGCTCTGCTCGAGGTCAGGTCTTGTCTCAGACAGGGGGCCCGCTCGGGTGGAGCGCAGACACCTTGTGTCGTGCCCCTCGCCCGGCGATCCTTCCGCAGCGCCGTGAGGCCCAGAGGCTGGCCCGGGTCTTGGGCCCCTTGCGCGTGTCTGGAGCCGAGTGGCAGGACCAGCTCGGCATGATGGCCACGACTCGTGTCTGCCAGACGGCCAGGTCAGTTTTCCGATGTTGCGACCTACTAATATCCACATCTCCGAGGACGTCGGGAGGCAGTGAGGATGGATATGTTCAGGCCCGGCGGGGGGCACATCCATATACCCATTGCGTTCTGTCGTATTGCAAGATCGGTTCCCACAGAAGCGGATTGCCGCGCAAGGCTTCTCAGGTCAAGCCTTCTCCGGCTCACAGACCCGACCATTCATTCATTCATTCATGGGCGTCGGTCCTTGAAAGATATCGTGCTTTCGTCTCGGCACGCCCGTTTGGCGGCACCCTGCGCAATGCCCAGGGCCGTATGCGCATGTGGCTGCTGCCATCGTCCTCCTTGCTTTTGTTGTTGCTGCTGTTCTTATTGCTGTTGTTGTTGATGCTGTTGATGCTGTTGATGTTGTTGATGCCGTCGTTGTTGTTGTTGCTGCTGTTGTTGTTGATCCTGGTGCTGTTGTTGAATTCACATTTCTAATACATAACTATTGTTAACGCTCCCCCCTCCGGCAACCGCTGCATTGTTCAACAAATGGCACGCGTGCCCTGGCTCTTGCACGAAGTAGCTGCGAGGGACAGGAGGCTTTCGCCTCCTTCCTCCAGGAGTTTCCTTCTGTGGCCAGGGGGGAGGACGAACGACGAACGACGAACAAACGACAAACGCAAACAAGTGGCACGCGTGCCCTGGCTCTTGCACGAAGTAGCTGCGAGGGACAGGAGGCTTTCGCCTCCTTGGAGTTTCCTTCTGTAGCTGGGAAGAAGACTTGTTTGCTAGATGCAGCTGCCCTGCTAGACTCCAGCGCCAGGGGCACAAGGGCTAACAGACAGGAAAAACAGACGACCTCAAGTATGGTCGAGAAACTCGGGCCTTGGGCCCCACTCCTTAGTTCCTCTGCGGGGGGGCAGCCTCTTCCGTACTCCCACTATGGCAGTATACTGGGCCTCGGTGAGGGAGAAACGCCCAAAACGAGCACACTCGCACTCCTGCGTCAGTAGCTTGGGTGTGCCCTCGGCATACCTCCCACAGACACCGCAGAAAACAAAACCGCCCTTCTGCCAAAGAGAATGAGAGCCGTGGAGGGGATGACCTCTCCAACCCTGCCCCTCAAAACGAGCGGGGGGGTCGGGCCAGCCCATAAAACGGAAGAGTTGCCCATCGAAAGGTGGCAAGTATTCAAACCCTCGAGGAAGGCGAACCGCCACGCGAGAGGGCGCCGCAGGCAACGATGCAAGGGAACTTGAAAGAGCCAGGCACTTGGAACGAAGCCTGGGCAGGACACAGCTCTGCGTCCGAAACACGAGTCTGCCACACAAAGTGCAGCTCCAACCCCGAGGAAACTCACGCCAGACATGGTTGGAGCTGCCTTTTGCCTAGCTAATTGCTGCGACGCGCCTATGAACCCGAGAGAGGCGAGGTGGGGCCACCAGCCTCACTGGATCCTTTGGCACAGCGGCGGCGGCGATTGCAAAAGAGGCACTGCGACGCAGAATCGCTACGGCCTCCTTGAGAAAACTGTACGCCCGATCGGCGACCGACATGGGCATCTGGGCGCGCGCGGCTCGAGCGTCTGCGAGGCCGTCCGCCACCGCGTTCAAGTGCACACCTCCAGCTTGGACGGAGGCGCCGAAACGCGCCAGCCTGCCCGCATCCTCGGCAAGGTGGGAGGGAACGTGAGAGAGGGTGAGCGGAGCGGGTCTGGCGTCCGCGAGCCTCCAGAACTCATACCAGAGGTCAGCATTCTCGAGCTTGAAGCAATGATGCCTGCCACGGACGTAGGCTCCCACATGATTGATGCGATCCGAGAGAATAGGAAGCTCCTCATCCTGGCGGACAGCCCTAAGCACTTCAATGAGACCCAACAGCCCGGCCCGAGGCACCGTCTGCTTTGGGCTGTCCACCAGGCCAGTGCAACGCGAGTCCCACGAGAGGGGGCTCAGGGAGGCCAGACGAGCAAAGCCCCAGGCCACCCGTCGAAGCAGAGGTTGCTTCCCATGCTGGCCCCCCGATCCGTCAGCGGCAGACACGCCGCCAGGGAGGGGCCAGGCCTGGACTCGGATCCACTCAAGACAGCGCTCGTCAGGAGGGGGAGGGCGCTCCAACCAGGGCAGGGGGATCAGGCCCCTGATCCAGTAGATGGGGGCCTGCGCGACCTCCTGCAGAGCCTGCCCAGAGAGATGATTAGTCTCAACCACAAAGCTAGAAGGGGGCTCAACTCCTACACTCAAGGCCCAACCCTGAGAGAAAAACATGCAAGGACATTCCCAGAACCTGTGCACACTGGTTTCAGGGGAGCTCTTGCACCGTTGGCAAAGGTCATCAGACCTAAAACCCGCCGCGAAACGACGGGATTCTGCCCAGAAGCCCCCACAGGCTACGAGGCGGACCATACTGGCAAGAGCTGGCTGGTCACTCATGTCAAGCCTCTCTGCTAAAGAGGCCACATGCTGGTACCAAACCCCGCACTCACCACCCGCCCCGTCCATATGCTTGGAGGCCTGGACCCAGGCGCGCGCCTCTATAGTGGACTCAAGAGCATCTAAGAGCCTTGTCGGAGGCGCCGCGCCCCGGTCAATCAGCTCCCACTTTAAACGTTCAGGGCCTCCAGGCTCCACTTGGGAATCGAGGGTAGGGCATTCCCACCCCAGGGAGGCCAGGGGCGCCTGGCAAGCCCCCAGGGGCCCTCGGACCCACGACCAACCCTTGCCGACGCGGTCGATGGACTCATTCCAGCGCCCACGGATACGCTCGGCGGGGCTGGGGTTAGAAAACAGGGCAAAACCAGGCTCCGATCAGCTTGCGTATATACTGGATCCACGGGCCCCGCCCAGCCCCGAAAGACATCTTGATGGCAGTGGTCGCACAAGAGCCGCGCTGGGGGCACTTACTGCCCAAGCAAGCTTGGCCCCTGAGCTGCCTCAGGGTGGAGGGGGCTAGGCCGTGAACCTCGGGGGCCCAAGCAGCTTTTGGGAAACTGTTCGTAAAATAGAGCTTAGTAGCCTTCGGTCTCGTCTTGACAAACCCAGCGATTTTTTAAAGCGGCACGCCTGCCCTTGGCCAGGCGGTGTCGGCGGACCTTCACAAAGCGGACAGCGCCAAAAGTCGTGTCATGGCCCAGGTCCCTGGACGAAAGAACCGAAGAGAGACTGGCCGCCTCGCCCCCAGCCTCTTGGGCCCAGGCATTTAACCTTGAGCGCACGGCAGCGGAGGAGGCCATGAGGGCGCACTTCTTGACAGAGAGTGCGCAGCGCCTACGCCTGAGGCCCTCCAACAACGCGCGGAGTACAACAGGGAAGGCGATACGAATGGAATGCTCCGCGCCTACAACGTGCAAATCTACATCATCAATCCACTCGCGAAGATGCAGCCCGTGGCCCTGAGACGAGGCACGCCCAGGAGGCTCGTGCAAAAACGCCCTGGCCAGGGAGACAGTCTGGCCGCACCCTGCAAGGATGCCTCCTCCAGGCAACAGGCCAGGATGGACCACCTTCTGGAGGGTGAGGATGCGAGGCCCAAAATGCACGTCCAGGGCAATGACGAGGAGGCGATGAGGGTAGCCCAGATCCTGGGCCGCGGTTGCTCGGTCGGGCAGGTAGACGAGATCATACACATTGTCCATATCAAGCAAGCCTCCCGCCACACTGAAACCTCCCAACACCGCCAACTCCCCCTCCAGCTCATCGATCCAGCCCGCGTGCTCAACTGAGCCGCCGACCGTTTTGTCCCACGGCCCGTGGCAATCCTTGTCCCACGCACCGATCATGGGCTTGCGAATTCGGCACAGTAAGACATAGCAGAAATTCAGAAGAGCGATGGGCCTCAAGCCTCCACCCCCCTTATCCAGGAGGCAATTTTTTGTTGAACAGCTCTTGAAAAGGCACAGCTGCATGCGACTCCATATCCGTTTAGAATTGCTGCAAGCGCTGCGAGACTCTCTGGAGGACCATCCTTGACCAGGCGAGGGGGCAGACCGTCCAAACCCCGACCCCGCCTGTCGGGCACCGACATCATGGCCGCCCTCACCTGGTCAGCAGCGAGGGGGGCCATCGGCTCAGACTGGAGAGCCGCTCGCCGCCACGA